AAACTATTGAGCGAGCCTCCCACGTCACATTTTCTTAAGCAGAAAAGGACAGAGTCATTGCTGGATAGAATGTCGCTACCGATTGGTGTTACTAAAACCCAGGAACCAAGTACATCTATATGATCAATCAACAGTTTCATAAGATGAATGAATTCATTTGTGTTGAGAATCCATCATAGACCAAATAATGGCTTGATTTTTGAAATATTTTTTCTTACTAATCCTCTATTGATGGAAAGAAATTGGCTTGTTTATATCCCCTCAGCTAGAAAGCATTGCACCGTTATTCTAACTCAACTATTGAGCTTCTGGTCCCCTCATTCATTTCACAAATATTTAAAAGTCTACTGTGTGCCTGGCACTAGTCTAGGCTGTGAATACTGATTCACAAAACAGTGACACACCTTGTCTCTTTTTTCATGAAATGTGGTCTAATAGTTTTCTATTGAGAGTCTTCTTTGGAGCTCCCCAAATGGGATGTGATGGATGCAAGATAATTTTTCAACTCCTTTTAGAAACAATGTTGACAAAACTTTTATTTCCAGACTATCTATCTTGGTGGCTTAGACATCTATAATCCCTTAAATTGTAATGTTTTCAGTTTTCAACACAGTTCCTCATTTGCTATTAAATAAAGCAGTCCAACATGGATTATCTTTAAATATTTTGTCTTTGCTTGTTCAAGGCTCCTTGTGATATTTATTTTCGGTCCATGCAGCAGAGCTTGGCCTTGGAAGAACTTGGGTCAGAGGAAATACACCTGCAGCAGAAGCAGTGAGATCTGGGTTGGGGCCCTTCCTCTCTCTGCGTGATTCCAGATTTCTCTCTGTTGCTCTGTGTCCAGACACATTTATTAACAATGAATACAATGCATAGCAGAGAGAGTTGTCCATCAAGAGGATGTAGACCATGCCTTGAATGTTAATTGCTGATGTATGAAGAGGGCAGTCTGGGGCAGTTCAATATAGGCAGTTGTGATAACTGTTGGAAGTCACACCTGTCGCTTCGGTGACTGTAACTGAGTGGTCAGTATTAACCAAGGAAATGGATGGAATGAATAAGCGATAGAGAAGGTGTTTTAGAATAGAATTCAGAATCCATGCCTTTCATCCTTGGAATTTCCCCAGGTTGTTTATTCTACCTGGTGTTGGGGAAGAGGTTGATTTATGAGGTAGGAGAGTGAATATCTCTTCAGTCAAAAAACAGTACTTGGCAAGGAGTTTTCCCTTTTTGGACTCCCTGACCAATTAGCAGCAATATTTGGCTGGCACTCTAGACCTTGAACTAGCCACTTTATCTTACATAGATATAATATATATATGTATGCTGTGAAGTATATGCAATATGTAACTCATGGAATAGTTGTGATTACATGAAGAAGTGAAAAGGGAGTCTTATAAACTCGAGAATAGTGGTTCTCTACCAGGGACAATGCTGTTGCCGTCCCCCATCCCCACCCCAGGGAACATTTGGTAGTGTCTGTGGACTATGCTGGTTGTCACAACTGAGAAGAGAGGTACTACTGGCATTGAGTGAGTAGAGACCAGGGACACAGCTAAACACCCTGCAATGCACAGGACAGCCTCCCGCAGTCCCCCCCCCCACCTCCAACCCAAAACGTCAGCAAAGCCAAAGGTGAGAAATTCTGCTCTGTAGCATTGTACTGATATTGCAGTTAAGTAATTGTGTGACCTTGAAGGGCATCATATACTTCAGTTTCCTAATAGGTAAGATCAGGAAACTACTTGTCAGTGATTATAGGCTACAGTATCTGTAAAATTAGGGAGTAACGCACATACCAACAGTCGAAGGAAAAAAATCGAAAGGACTGGGTACATGTAATGGAAAGTCCTACTGGTTGGAAAGTTAATCGGTCCATTATTGAATGGAAACCTACCAATAAGCAAAAAGTGGATGGAAACTATAAAATGCTAGGAATTTACCTTAAGGGAAAAAAAAAAAAAAAGAGGTGTGAGAAGAAATGTCCAAGGATATTCAGTGGAGCATGTTTTTGTCATTGTTTTTATTTTAGAGAGACAAGAAGGGGGAGGAGAGAGAGAAACATCGATGTGAGAGAGAAACATCTATTGGTTGCCTCCTATATGCACCCTTACCGGAATTGAACCCACAACCTAGGTACCCCCTCACAGGGAATCGAACCTGCAACCTTGGTGTACAGAACGATGCTCCAACCAACCGGGCTGGAGCATTGTTTTCAGGTGAGGCCTTGGGACCGAGCAGTGGACTATCATGCTTGTTCTGGGCCAGCAGTGGCTCACAAGCTGGTCGAGCCAGTTGTTAGGATACCAGCGCCACCCCTGTATGTGTAATCGTTGTCCTGGCAGGACAGGCTGGGCCGTCCCCACTCCTTCTTTTGGGGGGTGGTATATAAAAGGCTCCTTACCCATCTGATCACTGCAGTTGCTTTCCAAGGTAAGCCAAGGTCAAGCAGAGCGGAAGCATTTTTTCCCTTCTAGTCCCTTGTTTCTCGCTTTCTCTCCTTTCTCCACAGCTCTCCTTCCTCCCTTGTCTGGGCCTGTTTCCATCCACCCTGCAACCAGGGACAGGGGGAGCCTGTGCACACCACGCGCAGCCTGAGAAAAGCAGCGGGGGAGAGACAGCGCCCTAGAATGAGGACTGCAGCCTTTCTCTGGGCCTGCCCACTCCCAACCTCACTTGACTTCTGACTATGTTTCATACCGCGGGTCTCAGCTAGCATTTTGGCAGGAAACATGGATCCAGCTAGACAAGAGGACAATCAGCTGTTTGTTTTAGAGTTAGCATGAAAAATTGTTTAAGCCCTTCGCAAGTGATGTTCTTCCAGATATTTATTTATGTGTGCAAGGGACCATGGTGGGCTGGGTGGGCCAGAGGGGATGAAGACAGTCTCTGTCCCGAGGAGCTGGGTGGTTGTCCAACAAATCGTGGGATAATCAACCAAGACTCAAGTGCTTTGAGAGAGCAGAGAGAGGAGGATGTAATGGTAACTAACCAGAATCAATAACAAAGACTTATGATATGGGTGGACATGTATCTATCTCCATGAAAATATATAACTATGACTTTCAATTAAATCCCTGTTGAAAGATAAACTCATAAAGACATTTCATGTTGTAGTTCAGAGCTCTGGATTTAGTGTCAGACAGACAAGGATTGAATTCCACTTCCAACACTTACCAGTTTTGTGACTTTGGAGGGTAGTTTTATAATAATAACAACAATGATAATAGTTATTATTATTTTATAGTAATAGCTCTTCAGTCCCCAGCTAAATACTGCATTTTAGGAGCAGCTAATAGCCAGAAAAAGGCCATAAAATGTAACATAGGCTGACAGCTGGAAATAATCTAACAGGAAAGCAAAATGCTCTGTTTACATGTTTGATACTATGGGGCATTGTCTACAAAGGTGACAAATTGGAAATGAGGGACTGGCGTATGCTCATCTGTACAGTTACTCCTTATATAAAATAAGGGAAATGACAGAGTCAACCCAAAGAGCTGGTGTGAGAATTAAATTGCGTTAACCACCTTGGAACAGTACCTGAGATATAGTGAGCTATTATTATGATTAATAGCATATAATCATATGTGCATGAAAAAATGTCAGGAAATCTCCATAGAGGTTATATTCTTGGGAGGGAAATAAGAAGACGAGGAATGAGGGATTTGTATTTTTTACTTTATACTGTTCTCTTTTTGATTTTTAAATATTGAATAAATAAAATCTTAAAAATTATGCTACCAGGCACATCATTATTTGTTTTATATGATGTAAACAGGTAGAAAAATTCAAGTTCTAAGTGCATGGGCTTTGGATTACAAAATATAAAAGTGTGAACTTTGATTCTGACCTCTACTAATCAGGTTATTTTGGTCACTATTAAGCTCCCCAGGCCTTAACCTTCTCACCTATAAAATGGGCACAATAGCATCTATCTAACAGGATTAAAGGTGATTACATAATGAAAAGGTCTGGCATGTATCTTCCACATAGTATGTTCTCAATATACATTAGTTTCCTATTTTTATATTGTTAGGGCGCAGGGCAGGATGCCCCCAGATATCCCACAATGGCATATTGATTATTTCAAACTAAAGTGATTTGAGAAGCGGCAGGAATGGGAGGAGCTCTCTTTCTCTCCTCTGTCTCTCCAAATGCAGGAAATAAATCTCTGTGTAATAGGTGACCTCTCTCCCCTTGAGGACTGAGACAACCTCATCACAACAGTTAAAAAAATCCAGAGTGCAGATTAACTAATAAAGGCTTTTTGAAGTTCAGTTGGGCTTTTAACATAGGTGTTTTGGCCTTTGCATTTGGGACTTGTCCTATTTTATTGATATTGATTTTTAAAAAGTAGAAGAATGAGCTAAATTAATGTTAGTGTTGATATAATAATACATTCTTAAAAGAATAACTATTATTTTCTAATCATTTATCTTCCCTAATGGATGCATTATTAACAATTCTGGTTAGTTTAGGGTTCTGATTACTTGCAATCTTATTAGATTCTAGTTGAGCAATCATTCTTCTATTTTTAAAATATGAGTGGCCTTTGGAAAAAAAACACTTGGAGAATCTATCTTCATAAACAAAAAGATTATAGTTGTATGCATATGATTATATGTGTACAAATAAATATAAAACACTTATACTAAAACAAAATCCAGAGTCAGAGTCGAGAAGGTCCATATAAATACACCTCTATCTTTTACTAATTTACTACCTAAACCCAACATTACTTAGATTCCTTTCTAATGAGCACTAACGTTGTCCTGTCAATCTTTCAGCAATTTATTGTCTCTTTGTCTAAAAAAGTATAAAAAGGCACCTAGCTTGATCATTTCCTTGAGCCTCATTTTATGATCTGAGCATCATACTGTGATTCTCCCAGGAGAACGTATTAAATTATTTTTTCTCCTGTTGATCTAGTCTTGCGTCAATGTTATTATTTTATTGTTAGTCCAGCTGTAAGAACTAGAGACTGGTATAGAGGAGAGCTCTCCCCCTTTCTGACAATAACACCCCCAAATTCCTCTTATACACCTGAGTTTCATTGTCTTCTCTTCTTTAATCACCAGGGTATGTTCAAGTTGACCTCTATGGAGAACAGCACAGAAATAACAGCGTTCATCCTTTTGGGATTAACAGATGACCCCAGTCTTCAGGTTCCCCTCCTCCTGGTATTTTTGCTCATCTACATCATCACTCTGGTCGGGAATGGAGGGATGATGGTGATCATCCACTCAGACTCCCGCCTCCACACTCCGATGTACTTCTTCCTCAGCAACCTGTCCTTTGTAGACCTGGGTTACTCATCAGCCGTAGCTCCTAAGGTGGTGGCTGCGTTGCAGTCAGGGAACAAAGCCATCTCCTACAATGGATGTGCTGCCCAGTTATTTTTCTTTGTGGGTTTTGCCACTGTCGAGTCCTACCTCCTGGCCTCCATGGCCTATGACCGCCATGCAGCCATCTGTCGGCCTCTTCACTATACCAGCACCATGACCACTGGTGTGTGCGCCCTCCTGACAAGTGGCTCCTACGTCTGTGGCTTCCTCAATGCTTCCATCCACACGGCAGACACCTTCAGACTCCCCTTCTGTGATTCTAATGAGATTAATCACTTTTTCTGTGACATACCCCCACTCCTGGCTCTCTCGTGCTCCCACGAGCACATCAGCGAATTGATTGTCTTCTGTGTCGTCGGCTTCAATGTTTTTTTCACCCTCTTGGTCATCCTCATCTCTTACCTCTTCATATCCATGACCATTCAAAGGATTCGTTCTGCTGAAGGACGGAAGAAAGCCTTCTCTACGTGCGGGTCCCATCTCACGGCGGTGTCCATTTTCTACGGCTCAGTCATCTTCATGTACTTACAGCCCGGCTCCAGCCAGTCTGTGGACATGGGCAAAACAGCCTCTGTGTTCTACACGGTGGTGATTCCCATGCTGAACCCCTTCATCTACAGCCTTAGAAACAGAGAAGTGAAAAATGCTCTCTGGAAAATACTCAACAAACTTTATCCCCAATCTGTAGGAGTGAGAAGGAAGTAGGCAGGTGACTAAGGGATGCACCTTCCCTCAGACCTAGATGCCTTCATGACTTTCGAGGTTTGGCAGATGTCAGTTCTTTCTTCTCCAAAAACAGTGGTTACTTTTGCTATGACGAGAAGTTGCAACACAGCACTTTGAAAATGTCTGCCTCAGGCAGACAATCTTATATTTGGTGAATGGCAGCATGGGACGTTTATATCCTTCTTGCATTTGTTTCTTGACACAGTTTAAAGCGAAAGATGGAAACATACATGGAATGTACTGTATTTCCCCTTTCTATTTTTAATGGGAGGGAATTTCCACTCACTATTAAAATTTGGTGTCAGCTTCACATTTCCTTTCATAATATTTATCAATTGGAATGCATAGAGTGATGCTTTTCATTTCTTTGATCCAAGGATTTGAAAGTAAAGTTTCTAATGCTGACAAAATGTTTCAACACTTTTAATAATGACTTAAAGAAGGTTGTAATTTACAGAACAGAACCAAGAGTCAGGTGACCCAGTGTGAAAGCCTTCCAACCCCCCCCCCCCCTTCTCACCTTCTGCCCCACCCACAGGCCACTCTCACTCAACAGTTGTGCATTGTTGCATTCTCCAGCTCCTTCCATTGACATATTGGGGCAACCTTGGTAGAAAACAATAAGCCACCTTGTGTATGTGACAGTTTTGGCGGACGGATTGTTTAAACTTTAACCTGAATAAACATACCTTTCTTTAAAGGGCCTGCATTTTGGGCTGTGCTTTTGGCTTTTTTTCTAACATAATCACCAAAACTTGCAGAGAAGATTTGGAAAAAAAAAGCATTTCCCCCCAAGGGTTATGAAAGAGGATATTTGTCTTCTGAATTAAATGCTCGCATTTCTCAGCACCCTGAAGTTTGGTGACTATTGTGAACTCACATAATAGCTCTCTGTGCCCTCTTGGCTTCTGTTTTTTTCAATATTCTGTTCACCTCTGGATTCCTGTTGCTTCCTGATGTTCTGTAATTAGATGCTCCGAGAATAAAAATAAAAACAGCCTGTGGAAATTGACTTCTTAAGATAGGAATGGCACGCTGACGCACAGAGCAAGTCCACTGTCAGGTCTTGTTTCATGTGCCGGAGGGTGTGAGCGAATGTGTGTGCGTGGGCAGGGAGCAGAGATTAATTTAACTTCTCACATATCAACTGCTTGCTGGTGTTTATAGCTACAATTAGTCTAAGTCATCCCATATTTCATGATCACATCCCCAAAAATGAATATTTATTTTAACTGTGAAAAACAAACCTCAGTGGGCTAAATCAAGGAAGTTAGGTTGGAGATGATCAAATTCCATTAGGCACAGGGCAGTGTCTGCCTGAGAAGGGCTGGCCATGAGTCTTGTGGAGAGAGGAGCAAAGAAAGAATTATTTTGGAACATGAGGCTGACCTATAGGAGAAATTTTCTCTGGCATCTGGCCACCGTCTCCTAAGAGATCAGGAGCTTCTCCTGGACCCCAGGCTGTGACAGCCTAGACCTGCCTCATCTACTTTCCCGCTTTTCCCTTCAACAGTGAAACGTATCCAGCAACACACATGGAAGAACAACTTAGAAAGGCCAGAATCCACTTCATGAAAGAATCCTTCTCAGCAACTTCTAGAAGTTACAAAGTTCAAGAGTACCCAAATTCTGAGATTTGGGAAGCAGCTATCCAAGTACTGAGTGCATTCTAGTCTTAGCTCTGTTTCTTTTTCTATTTGGTTGATATAAATTATTTCTTTTCCTCTTCTTCCGGCTCCTCCCCTTCTACTTCCTCTATTTCCTTCTCCTCCTCTTTCTTTTCCTTTCCTCCTCAATCTCTTTCCATCTTCAGCCCGAACAAGAACTTTCCTCATCACTAAGCCATTACATTTCTATAAGACATTAAGTCTATAGTTTGCATATTATAATTGACATTACATGGTAAGGTGTGTTTCCAGGCATGTTTCTTTCTGCCTCTTTTAGTTTAGGCAGAAACGTATGTGGATCTTCTAAGAGGTAAAGTCCTAATGCCTACATATTCCTATTTTCCGTTGAAGTCATCCCAAAATCATGTTACACTTGACTGCAAATGGGTATAAAAGAGTATTAGCTCTGGTATCAATCCTTACGCTTCACATCAGTTGTGTGACCTCAAAAAGTCATTTAATCTCTTTGAACTCAACATGCAGGACAAACTGTGAAGATACATGAAATAAAGCATGTGAACAAGTTCATCATAACGAATGCATATTTGATACAGCTGAGATTCGTGGACTAGCTCTCACGTATCTGCCTTGTACTGATCACTTTTGGCCCCTGAGCACCCTCACTCTCTCCACCCCATCCAAATCCAAGCCTTTATTTTTATTTGTGGTTTAACTTCCTTTCCCCAGCCTCCCAGGTCTGCAGCAGACACATTTCAAGCTAACACCACATGAGGATGCATTTATAGAACCTACTCAAAAGGAGACGTCTTGTCGCCAGCAAGATGTCAATTTACAGAATGCACATTCCTGTGGGGAGCTTTTTCACTTCCACATGGGAAATCTGTCAAATGGAGACCAAATGCCCACTTGGCTATTAACAATACCACCCTCTCCTTGCAGGAATGGTCTGATGAGTGAGAGACACTGTGAGTAAGGCCTGTAGATCAAGGTAATGCAGTGAGAGCAGAGGAAGACCTCATTTCTGAAATGTCCAAACACAGAATATGAAAACACATAAATCAGTACAATTATTTATATCAGGATAGATAATCCTTTGGAAAAAGGATTACTAATTAAATTATTCTAAATGGAAGGCTCTCGCTGTGCATTAGATGATTTGTTTAGCTTTATGTACAGGAAAATAAAAATTAAAATATGAGAAGTTCTTGACAGGTGAAGCTAGCATTACAGAGACATAACTCTTCAGCTCTCAAAAAACCTTTAAAAGTAATCTAAACCAAGCCTCTGATTTTATCATGAAAAACCCTGATTCTCACAGTTTAACTTGCTTAAATCCACAGACAACCACATCTTACTTGATTCTTCCTCATACTTTAAATTCTAGAAATTTCTTGATGTGTCTATAGACAGTTTTGCATTTTTACTTTCATTTATTCACCATGACACAGATTTTTGTGTTTGAATTTTGCAGCTGGGGAAACCAAAGCTTTGTGAAGTTAACTTGCCTGCCTACTGCTAACAAGAGGAGCCAAGAGTTGAACATAAGTCTTGCCTTCTCTGCCCAATTCTCTGAGAAAAGAAAAGTAGCTTTATGTTATAGTAAATTTCAAAGAGGACTTATTTGATGTATAAATCATTTACAGACACTCTTTCATGATCAGTTCCTGCTGTGTGGAAAGGTGCTGTGGAGAATACAAATATAAGACTATAAGATGTAATTCTTACTTCAACAAAGCAAATCCTCCTGCTTATACAGTGACTGATGTAATGCACTTGGAGATTAATGACTCAATGTTCAATAACTTTGTCAGCAGGAATTTTTCTTATACTCTATGGAACACGCTGGACCAGGAAATACTTGCTTTCGTCTTGGTAGCTGGCATTGGTTCTTTGAATGCTGTATACCACAGAGATAGCCAAGTTCCAGACAGTGTTTCCTGGGCACAAGCTGCAGGGTATAAGATCTGTGAAGGAACCATGTGATACACGACATTGTTCTTGCTTCAGGAGCAGCATGCAAGCAGTGCAGTGAAACAAGGCACGTACATCAAGATAGGCCACAATTCAAGGCATTCGTGGTCTTTGTCAAGTGAGTAAAATAGAAAATAATAATTAGAACTTTTCAGAAATGAGAAAGAATCCTGTGGACAGGGAAAGCTCCCGGGTGGAAGTTGAGCCGGATTTTGAAGGAATAATGTAAAAAGAACCCAGAATTACACTATAGGAGACTTAGCTTCTAGTAAAAACTCAGCCACTTACCACCATCTGTAAGACTGGCATATGCCATTTATCTTGGAGTGAATTTCTTCATCATCAAAGTGGAGATAATAGCACCAGCCACACCTTGCTCAAGGATATTATGAGGATCAAATAAGATAATGGGTGGGAAAACATTTTAAAAACTGTTAATCTTTCTAAATAGTATTGCCACTGGTAATTATAAGCAGAGCTGAGTGGGGAGCTTCTGACCAATAGGGACCCATCTGAACCCAGGTTTGTACATGGGATTGAACATCACAGCAGTTTCTGTTGGCTGGAGCTTGTAAGAAAAGTAAACGACTCAGATTAGAAGTAAGTGAACCACCAAATCCTCAGTCCATTACTTCTATGGGCAAATAGGACTTCTTCCACTGAACTGGATGAAGAGCCTGGGCCTTTGAGAACAAATGAGTTCTTACAGAGAAATGACCCTTTGATAGAGGAATTTCTTTTTTTTTTTTTTTTTATCCTCACCCGAGGACATTTTTCCATTTTTTGTTCAGACAGAGTGGGAGGGAGAGAGAGGAAGAGAGAGAAACATCGATGTGAAGGGACACATCGAGTGGCTGCCACCCGCACGACCAACCAGGGCCGGAGACAAACTGCAACCGAGGTACGTGCCCTTAGCGGGAACCGAACCCGGGTCTCTCTGTACCGCAGGCCGACGCTCTAACCGCTGAGCCAAACCGGCCAGGGCTGATAGAGGAATTTCTGTAGAATCCCATAACTCAGCTATCCAGAGCCAAGCCCAAGAACTTTACCTCCAGTCCATAACATGGGATTTCTCAGTTGTTGGTTTGTGATTTTTTTAAATAAGGTATCTGTATTGGGGGTGGAGGTGGGGGATAAAATTGTAGCATATCAAACCAGCAACAAGTTAATGTATACACACGTAAGATATATATATATATATATATAAACATCTTTCTACAAATCAATGAGAAAAAGACAGATAACCCAATAGAAAAATGGCTTATCTCTAATTTGGGGTAATGATGGGCAAAGTTAATGTGAATGAACATTTGGCACATATCTCAGTGGGCATATGCATTCATTCCTATAGCGTACATATATCTTAAGGTGGAACAGTTG